GTGCCTTGCCAATTGGATAGATGAAATAACGTTCAAGCTTTAAGTAAAAGCATTTCAAAGACGAAACATGTCTCCATCATTATCTCAGTCTAATGGATAGATCTTTTCTTTTAAATGAAAATAGCACTGCTCTGTTGAATTCCACACGCGTGTCCAAATATTTTGTCCGCAGCCACTCTCTTCTGATTATGTTTAGAGAACAGTCGTGAGGTTTGAAGATGAATCATATCTCTGCAGCAAAATGTTTTTTTTTTTATTTGTTGTATTTATTTTATTTGGCGCCTCTTATGCTCCCCTTCCTACCTTTTTGTTTTGCCATTGATATGTTGTTCTCCCTGTTCTTTTGTAAACACTGTACAAACTGTAAATACTGTCTTTTCACCTTTCACTGAGTACTGTACACCTTGGAATAATAAATATTGCTGAGTGGAGTTTGCACATCCTTCTTTATTATATTTGCCTGCCATCATTCTTCTATATATGCACACACACTTTTCAAATGTTATTCTCCCATTCTCCCCTAGCCCAACTAATCCTAAAAGCTTAAGGGACATAACATACGAGTTAAAGCCTGTTTTTATGATACAGAACAAATAAACTCTTCGAGGATTAAAGTAGATGAAAAATGAATCACTGTCAAAAAGTGTAGCATACTGAAACTGAGGAGCCGGGCCTGTTTCTGAATCTATCATCAAACCAGGCTTTCTTTAAGGTTAGACCACAGAAATAGGTTGAGCCTGATACATCTTAAAGTCCTACTGAAATGTAACACTCCTGCTTTGAGACTTTGAGTAATCCAGTCAAGGTTCAGCCATAAATTGAAAGGGCACAGGGCACATTGGGGGAAAACAGATCAGAAGTTTTCCAAAGGAAAAATCTACAAGGAATCTCCCTGCCTTTAGGCAATGCAGTGATGCACCTCCAATCTGCTGATCATATCGGAAACATGCTCTCTGGAAAATATCAAATGCAGGGCCTTGGACCATAAAGGGACACATCGACAGAAATAATCCCCTCCAGTCATATAGGCTCAATATTTCATCATTATTTGATTTGACTACAACTGGTGGAGCATGCTCGAAATGCAGTATGGAATCGAATTGAGTCTGTTTATCTGCAGGAAGCTTCATTTTAAGGAAGTGATCTTGATAATGTCACTGTACTGCTTATTGACATCCACAGCATGACGGCACCTTCAAAACACTTCAAAGGAGGGTTAGCAAGTAATTACCGAAAGCTTCACAACTAAAACGTTCTGTACAGAAAACCATTCAATATTGAAGGAGTAGCAAATAAGCAAAGAAACCACAAACAAATATGCTAATTGAAAACCAGCAGGTGGTGGCCACAGTATTTAATGCTGCATGTGCAGAGAAACCATGTCAAAGAGCATGTAGGCACATTAAAGCATCTGGTAAATGGCACTCGTGCAGTGTTTCTGGTTTACTTGTGTAAGCATTACAGTATTGTGCAAAAGAAAGATGAGATGAGGTTTGTCACCATCTAGTGGTCCTAGTGAAAATTACATCAGTGTAAAATTGTACATCATTGTTTTAATTAATGTAATATTGGTGTCATTCAGCAGTTGCAGATGCTGTCCGTCACACACTTTCAGATGGCTAAAATTCAAACTGTAATGTCCACAATTTCTGCAGAAACCTAAATCTGTTTTACAACAGTTTTTACTAGTAATAATTTGTAATGGCATAAATTATTTTACTATTAAAGTAATAGCTCACCCAAAAATGAAAATTTGCTGAAAATGTACTCCCCTTCAGCCCATCCAAGATGTGGATAAGTTTGGAACAGATTTGGATACATTTCAGCATTACATCACTTGCATCAATGGATCCTCTGCAGTGAATGGGTGCCGTCAGAATGAGAGTCCAAACAGCTGATAAAAACATCACAATAATCCATAAGTAAGAACAAGTGAAAGCCTATTAACTTTAAATCATTGCTTTGGCCAATTACCAGTTCATAATACATAATACTGCTAATAATGGATTTTTTTCTTACAAGCACCCAACTGGAGTGGTGTGGATTACTTATAGATTATTGTGATGTTTTTATCCGCTGATTGGACTCTCATTCTGACGGCACCCATTCACTGCAAAGCATCCATTGGTAAGTAATATAATGCTAAATTTCAAAGAAACAAACTCATCTTAATCTTGGATAGCATATACAGTATATACACACACACACACACACACACATACATACATATATATTTATGTTTATTATAATAAATAATTAAACATATAATTAAAATAATGCATATAATTTGACATTTTTCAACATACATAATGTACCATTTCATTAAATATTTAAACGATTTGAGAGTGAATTAACTGGTTCTATTAATTTTAATTAGGTGCAACACCACTGACAAAATAAGAGGTCAGCCAATGGTAAATTTTTTCAGTCAGTCAAATGTTTGACAGAATTTGCAGATGAAAGAAATTGAGCTCAGAATGTCATAAATCCATTTTATTATGAAAAAGAAAAAGCATATCTCATATCATAGTATACAGTGTAACAGACCATCTCCCACAAGAAAAGTCCATTTGTGGATGCCACCAATAAATGAACCTTTGAACAAGAATTAAAAAAAATAATATAATAAAATCAAATAAAACAAAACTACTGCAAAACAGTGGTATCGCTAAGATGTTTCCAAATACGATCCTAAATTTCTATAGTTTTTTTTTTAATAGAGTGAACATCCCACATTACGTATGAGTGTTATTATAGGTTAGTACAATCATTGACTAATGGAATAATGGAGAGCACAGGAAATGCTTTAGGTCTGCAAGTGCAATATTCATTATGCAGTTTAAGAGGGTATTTTGAGTTATGCTAATATGAAATTATCGGATAATGAACACTAAGTCAATAAACTAGTTAAAGGACATCTAATTACAGCTGAGAACTGTTTGTATGCAGAGTCCTGAAATAGTGCTGCACATAATGGGGCTGGATAAGTATAAACAACAGGTTTAAAAAACAAAAGTGTCACTCTCACCATTCAAATAACAAATCCACATGATATTTTTTGCATTCCATGACTCAGAAACAAAATGATCATTTGCCTAAAAAGCATCTAAAGAAAAGCTGAGACTGTGAGAGAAGACCTGCTACCATTATTTGTGTCAAAAGACTCTTAAAGTTGGATTTTAAAATGCTTTTGCAACTCTTCTAAAAATGCTCACAAATTTTGCATTAGAGTTATGACTCCCCAAATGACCACGTTTAAAGTCATTTCTCCGTGATGAGGTAGAATCCAAAGATTTCTATGAAGACACTTTGAAAATGAGTATGGGAATGTAAACAAAACAGAACAAATCTTGAAGGCTTTCTCAATTCATTTTTCAAAGCACATAAAAGTGACAAGTGTGATGTCAAGACCCATGTTGGGAAAAAGATCAAGACATCTTTAAATCATTGAAAAACTATTCTGATATGCATTCACAATCACAAAATGTTTACCATCCACACAGTACTGTTCTGTACAACTGTTCTCGACTGGTCGACTGAAACTCCAGCTTCTCTGATAAAACTGTGCTTAAAGATTTGCAAACATTTCGAATGACTGTAATGTACAAACTATCACAGCTGGTACAGAGAAAGGCCAGCAAAAAAGGCTCAATGGTTTTAATACTAATCATCAAAACGGTTTCTGATGAACCAGCACAGAAAAACCACTGAAATGCAAAATGCACTTCATAAAACATTTTTGCCAAAGCATGCACGAGGAATGTACACGAACACAGATTTGCGATGTTTTTCAGTTGTGTGCCTACTGTCAGCCAAACATTCATTGTACTCACGTTTGTGCATTGCACTTTGAAGGGTAAGATGTATATGACATAACATTAGTAAGAGATGATCTTTACATTCATGATATGCAAGAGGCCCCCTCAAAAGTTCTTTGTTTAGAAAAAAAAAGGAGAAGACAGAAAAGGCCATTGCATGATGAAGAAACTGAGAGGGAGAGAGATAATAAACACGAGTCTCACAAAAACATGTCCAGGTTGCAGTTCACCCCAGAATATATGCTATTCTGCATAAAGAAAATGAAGCTTATTTCAAGCTTATAGATTTTTATTTTTTTTGCATTGTGACAATATTTTCATCGTAAATTCTCATTACAATATTGCCTCTAGAGTTTTCTTTTGAAATTAATTCTCTTTATTCAGATTCATTAATTTCTTGCTACTATAGTACAAATTTTTTCTGTATTACAGAAAAAAAAAAGATTTTTTAAATTAAAATATACGGCAGTACAACAAAATATCATAATATCTGTATGTATAAATATTTTATAAATTAAATATATCTCTATATTTGGGAGAATTTGGATTAAATATGCTAACTATATTTTTCCATTTTGCAACCTGGACATGTTCTTGATAGCTTTTCATGAGAGTCATCAATTTGGGTGCACAAAAAGGGGGCTAAACATCATCTTTAGAACGTAATCTTGTATCTGCATAAAAGGTTTGCCTCTTATATACACAATATTCTTTGTTTAGAAAAAAAAAGGAGAAGACAGAAAAGGCCATTGCATGATGAAGAAACTGAGAGGGAGAGAGATAATAAACACGAGTCTCACAAAAACATGTCCAGGTTGCAGTTCACCCCAGAATATATGCTATTCTGCATAAAGAAAATGAAGCTTATTTCAAGCTTATAGATTTTTATTTTTTTTGCATTGTGACAATATTTTCATCGTAAATTCTCATTACAATATTGCCTCTAGAGTTTTCTTTTGAAATTAATTCTCTTTATTCAGATTCATTCATTTCTTGCTACTATAATACAAATTTTTTCTGTATTACAGAAAAAAAAAAGATCTTTAAATTAAAATATACGGCAGTACAACAAAATATCATAATATCTGTATGTATAAATATTTTATAAATTAAATATATCTCTATATTTGGGAGAATTTGGATTAAATATGCTAATTATATTTTTCCATTTTGCAACCTGGACATGTTCTTGATAGCTTTTCATGAGAGTCATCAATTTGGGTGCACAAAAAGGGGACTAAACATCATCTTTAGAACGTAATTTTGTATCTGCATAAAAGGTTTGCCTCTTATATACACAATATACCGAAATCTCCCAAAAAGACCACAGAAGAGAAATCTCACATTTTACTATTTGCTCTGATAACACAGGTTATATAGACCCTTGAAACAGAGCAAAGCTTGTTAAACAGATGAATCAGATCAGTCTAGCTGACATGACACTCCACTGCTATAACCATTCAGGCACGTTCTACATACGCAGTCGGCAATACATCATTTATCTTACTTTGCACATTATCAGCGTTAAGGTCGTGACTCAAAGCAGACACCTTCTGAACACAATGGGATTAACACAGCTAAGTGAAAACGCACTGGTATGGTATTCATAATGGGATGGATACACATCCACACACGTATGTACGTGTGTGCATGCTTTTAAAGAGGTCTGCATTGCCATGCATTTTTAAATAGATGATTGCATGCATATGGCTCGAGCAAGAGAGACTGAACAGTAAAAAAAGCCTTCCTAAAGGTGCTGTGCCACGTGCTGTGTAACTGTCGTTGGCTTCTGCTACCATCTCTGTAGGGCTCAATAAGGCATGTGATCGTACACACGGCTAATTCAATCTGTCCACTTCATGTGCACTCACGTTAGATTCATTCGCAAAGCACTCTGCGTGATCTGAAGTGTGTTTCCCAGAGGGAATGTATACCACATGATTTCTATAAAAAGTTCAGTTGGTTAGTATAGCGATGTATATCTTCTATGAGTTTAAGCAGCATCATATTTATAATAATACCTTAATAATGTATACACTATAGCATATCACCATCTAGCAGAGTAGAGAAAACAAAGATACATAGGCAAGTCTGGGACAGCGGTTAAGTCGATTTATACTCTTTGCCACAGAGACAACCAATAAAACATAGATATACAGACAAATAACAGACTATTTCTCCACCTCCCCAACAGTAGTGGTAGTACTAACAACAAAAATAAATGCATTATTTGTATTTATCAAGTACGTCATTCTGATTGGCTACCCTGTGCAACAGAGGGCCAATCAGAGGTAAGAGTCCAACTGTCCATCGGCTCGAATGACTGGCAGACAGAATATTGTGTAAAAAGCTGAACCCACACAAGTGTATAGTGAAACGCACTGCTGTAAGGCTTTGTTTAGTTCAAGGCTCCTCTGTTTAAAGTCCCAGTGGTTGATTTGTGTGTTTTTCTATAAGAAAGTAATCCACAGGTTAATGAAAACACCATCCACTTTACATTATTCGCCAACATGGAGGAGAGTCTGGTGAACATTTATTAAGGGCAAACGAAAATAGCATTCAATCAAGAGACAGCTGCGAGATTGCAGATAGCTTGATCTCGATGTGACATCTCACGTTAAGCTCCTTCTGGATAGTCTCCATAAGAGCTTGTTTTCAGATAAGGAACCACAAAAAAAAAGAAAAAACATAGATGGACAGTCCACTTTGTAAAGTCAGTTAACATACAAAGTCTGTAGGGTTATAAGGGTGGAATTTACCAGCTCAGTGGTGTGTAAACAGTGCTGATTTGCAATTAGCTCTCTGGCATAATCAGAGGTCACTGTCACCTGTTGTCTCTGCAAAGGGTCACCAGTTGGCTTTGACCGCTCTAATGTCACTCACCAGGTTTTGAGCCAGACATATCCCAAAAATCTGAAACATATTTCAAAAGAAAGCATCATAGAGGAGAAAAATTACAATTCACATTCAACATGCACTCACTTTTAGTTAAACTACCCGACAAGCTGAAATATCCCTATAACCTACAGTTGTATTATACAAAAACAGTCAAAAAATACCAGGGTCATTTATAAATTAAATGTAAAATGTACAAATAATAATAATAATCATAATAAAGAAATAAAGAAAATTAAATCTGACTTCAGGATAATTAGGATTTTTTTTTAGGACTTTTTAGAACATTTTCATGACAATTAAGCATAGTTTTCCTGCCCTTCCCCAACTGCAAGCCTTTGCAATCTCATTCACTTTCTGACAAATAATGACATAATACTTCAATTTTATCATTAATTTTTAAGTATACATTGTAGTATATTTGTTGTACAGAATAAGAAATAAAACCAGCATAAATTAAATGCGTTATTTAATTAAAAAAACAAAACAGGGTGGCTTTCATTATTGTATACATTTGGTTACAGCAATAATAAAATTGGGAAGAAATGTACTGGTTAATTTTTATATTCGCCTTGCCATCCATTAAGGAGGAACTTAAACCTAAATTTTAAGGTTTAACCAGAAGGTGGCAGCATAATATCCATTCATGTGGGACTATTTTACCATTCAAGCAAATCTGTTCAGTCTTTACTACATCTTTAAAGGATATTTGCATGCTTTAAAGCATTTCCATTAGCATTATCCTTACCTGTAATAATGCAATCCCCACAAAAATCCCAGCAACGACGATCAGATTATCCTGAAGCCACTTTTCAAACTGCCCCACGCAGCCCTTTGTATAAATGTACTTCTGCTGATCCAACTCCTGTTAAAAAAGATTATTCAAAATAGAACAGCACTTAATGGCAAATGTCAGATCTAAATAAGAAACCAAATATTCAATCAAGTGCACCATGGAGCATATTAGTCTGAGTTGACCTTTAATCTTTACTCAAGTCCAGGATAAACAATTAGGCCTTCACCTGGGTGGACCTGCGCATTAATCTATTTGAGAACAAATATCCTCTCTAGAAAACTGGAAGAACTCACTCCCACACTAAGTAGATGAAATGTCACACAGCAGCTCACCACATATAACCTAACACAGGGAAGATCCAGTTTGTATTACACAGCCATGCAGGAATGTCTTAACTACTGTCTATCGAATTCTAGGAAGTAAGGGAGATGAAAAGGTGTAATTTGGGGGTGTCAGTGACATTTGAAGGTGAAGAAAGAGAAATCCACACAATTCAGCTTTTGTGAACCATACAAAAACGTTCTTCCAGGGAAGACGACACAAAAGACTTTAGAAACGTATCACCAAACCGGTAGGAAGTCTGAAGAATTCAGAGAAAGCCAGTGAAAGGCTGTATGACAGTTAACTGTTTGTACTTATTCATCTTTGTTAACTTCTTCTCTTTTTCTCTCCAAGGCCTTCCTCCAGAGGTTGAACAAAGACGTGCAAAATATTTAAATTTGAGCAAACATTTATTATATGTTCAATACTTGTTCACAACACCAAATCAATAAAAAAAAACACTATAAAAGCAAATAAAACCGGAGTAAATCTCTCCAAAGGAAAAAAAAAAAAAAGAGTATCCATGGATACAGAATAAGTACTCTGTACCATGAAGAGACCGTGGTGAACCGTGGGTGCAGTGTCACTCCACCCATACTGAAAGGCACAGGGCTGGCATAAGCCGCTGACTTCCCAATTACAGAGCTCCACAATTTCCCGTGGCTAAAACTAGAAACTAATTATCACTTTTAAAGGCTTAAACTGTTATTAAAGAGGCGAACAAGAGGAACTCAAATGCTCTCAGAATCTCTCATAAGCTTAACCCTTCTGTGCTCCTTTCAGAGGGTGGTCTGACACAGCACAATTTATACACTATAATGTTTTTCATCATTATGAATAGACCATGGATCTGCACAACTGTAACATTTCTAACTACTAATAACACACTCACCCCTTGAAGCCGCACATCATAGCCACATTGTGTATTCAGGACATCCTCCTAAAGAGAGAACAAAAGAACATGCTCAATTTATTTCAAAACATGTCTATACACACACACACACACACACACACACACACACACAAAATCGAAGTTGTAAATAAAAAAAAGATTACGGGGGTGCACCTTACAAGAAAACACAATTTTAGTGTTTCTTCAAAATGCTTGTTTAATTCAATGTTTTCAATGTGCCATTTCTTTTTTAACTATTTGTGAAATTTCCAAGCAATTTATGAGTGAAATTTGTCTCAAAAGAATTCCCACACCAATAAAACACAATCTGAAATACAGAATACAAACTTTCTGATAAAATATAATGTTTAGGATAAAATGAAATTTCATAGGATTGAATAAAACAATCTTTAGCACACAACAGGATATCATTTTAGTATAAAAGAACAGGATAATAGAATAGGATAGAACAAAAGACTTTACAGGATTTTCAATAAAACCATTTTTAAAAATAGAATAGAATCTTAGGGGCACAATAGATTTTTTAAACAATATAATAGAATGAGATATAATTATCATTTTAAAATATAATTTCAGGACAATTGAATGCACTCCTTTGGACAGAAAAAACAACAGAACACAACACAACACAACAGAACAGAACAGAATAGAATAGAGAAAGAGATAAGAGACTTCTGAGAGTTTTATCATACAAATTTTTTAACAGCAAAACAACAGTATTATCAGCATGCTAATTAAAGCACCACTTCTAACCATATACTGTATATATGCATACATACATAAAAATACAAGGGGAAAAAACAAGGGAAACAATTGTTGACTCATGACACACACAAATGCAAATTTCACATGTGCTGCACCACTGAGCTACAGTACAACCCTTAGCTACATTCTGTTATCCCTGTAAAACAGACCAGCAAATTATACTAAACCTCCATCAGATTTTTGAATGAGCTCTATAAACAAACTTAAAGGGGTCATATGATGTTGCTAAAAAGAACATTATTTTGTATATTTGGTGTAATGAAATGTGTTTATGCGGTTTAAGGTTCAAAAAACACATTATTTTCCACATACTGTACTTTATTTTTTCTCTTCTATGCCCCGCCTTTGAAGCGCGTTGATTTTTACAAAGCTCATCGGTCTGAAAAGCGAGGTGTGCTCTGATTGGCCAGCTATCCAGTGCGTTGTGATTGGCCGAATACCTCAAGCGTGTGACGGAAATGTTACGCCCCTTACCATAATGATCAGGAAACAGTCCTCCATAAAACGCGTTGCTCGCAGCTGAATATTTGGGTTGAAGTGTTCTGGAACAGTGTTGTAAATACAACTTAACCACTGATTTCTAGTCGTGTCCTCTTTTGGAAGACCAAACAAAGTAGTTTCGCTTTCTTCACGACATGGCGGCGGCGGCAACAACAATATAATAATGACTCTTTACTTTTATAAAGAATATCCCTTTGGATTTGAGACTTTAGTCTTTGCAACTTTACAGATCTTCTTTATGCACCAAGAGCTTGTAACACTCCAAAGAGAAAAGAAAAATTGAAATCGCATCATATGACCCCTTTAAAGAGTGCTGCACAGATTGTGAGGAATAACAGAAGCAGGGAAGAGCAAGTGGTAAACAGATGAAATGATTGTTTCTGGCACTCACAGCAGGGTCTTTGACACAACAGGAGAAGGGAACGCCACACCTTTCCCGGCTGGGGTTGAAGTCGGTGCAGTTGAAATAAATGTTCAGGTTCCAGTCATTCGGCCCATGAGCACCACAACATGACCACTGATGTGATATATGACATCAGAGATGACATTACTATCATTATCATCAGCACCTTTACATCCTCACACAGCTGTAATTTACAGTAATGTTTTTCACATCAAGAAAGCTTAATGACTCAGCAGATGTCTCACTTGCATATCTATCCCATTCAAAATACACCCACAGTGCTGCAGAAAACGAGAGGGGAAGAGAAGTGCTGACTCACATATTCTTGAGCAAAGTCAATGAGGTTCTGGAGGTCAATGTCATCCCGATATGCTTTAACATTGTTGCTGATGAAGAAGTTCAGCTGGTCTTTGATCCAGTCTTTAAACACAAAAGCTAAAATGCCAGCTGTGAGTTCCAGGAAAAAGATGAGGCCCAAAAACACTGAAAACTAGAAGAGAAAACACATAAGATAGTGGAGTCAGAATTTTTTTTTAAGGGAAATACTTCAATAAAAATCATTCTAATACACTGACATTTAATTTGCCTCCAGGAGGCATCTTTCTGGGTGTATTCTTAAATAATGGCAAATTCATTTCATTTAAACGACCATATCTGGGAACAAATAAACCTTGAAATGAGTGAAGAGAGGAAAACAGGTTGCAGAAAAATAGGAGGCAGGGCTCGTAGGCCGGATGCAAGGGTGGAACTCACAAATTTGAGCAGGAATGTGTTCTCCCGGAGCGCACCGATGCATCCGGCAAATCCGAGGATGAACATCACCCCTCCTACGACAATGAAGAGCCAGACAGGGTCGAAGCCGCCCAGATCTGTGATGGAGGAAATGTTTGACAGCACTCCCTGTGGGCCAGACACATCAGACAGAGTTGTTGTAAGTTCACATCCTGACCTTAAAATCCTCCACCACCTGCCAGGCTGCCACAACTGCCAGTGTTTGGGCAACTATCGCAGTGATTCATGCCTTCCACGTTTGGATTTCCACATCAGGGTAGAATCTCAGTTCAACCCCAGAACCAACAGCAGGTCTTTGACCACGCTGACAGTGAATATAAACAAGGTTTCCTTTGTGTGTGGGTGTGTTCTTGCCTGGTTTGTTATGATGGAGTAAAAAAGAAGGCTCTGAAATCCTCCTGAACACTAATTTAAAATAAACAGAATTTCCACCAATCAAATCCAACACCCTTAGTTCGATTCTTAATGCTTTATTTCTGTGATTAACATTTTGCAAATTAAAACTGAACCACTTATTAATTATTTACATCAAGTTACCGAGATGTTCCTTAATCAGCTGACATTAATACAAAGTGCCATATGGCCTACACGTGTCTTTTAGCAGAACAATCAACGGCTGAAATGGAGCAATTTCCAGGTTATTAATCAGCCAATTGACTTCATTCATTAAGTCGCCTCAAATTAGAGTGAAGAAATTACATTCACCTTTCATGCATGAATACATAACAGCAAGGGTGACCTTTTCAGAGAGGGATGACAAATCAGAGAGAGAATAGTCACAATAAATACAAATCCTTATTGAGCTGTGCGATACTGTTACAATATAATAGCGACATTAACCTGCCATGGAAATAAATAAAAGATGCCACCCATATGCTCTCAAATGTCATGGTTTCATGATATTAAAAGGGAGACTACAGACATCAAAAGAGGAAAAGGCAACATGGGGGATTCACAGAAGAGCATCTCAGAACATTTCATAAAATAAAACATGAAGTCCAACAGGAAAAAATGCTAAATATTAATTTGGGTGCTTTAACTCACAGACTTAATGAGACAACAGGGTATTTGTAGGTAGATTGTACTGTTAAAGTGTGCCGTTGTCTTCTGTTTACATCTATGATTATGTTGCTAAGGCAACCACATGGATAATAATATTAGGAATCTGAGGCATGTCACCGATCATTGTGTTACTCTGTATTTGTGTTTCCAACTTGCCTTTTCTGCCCAGGCCCAAAGTCCGATACCCAGGAATGCAGCTCCCAGCAACTGCAACATACAAGCACACAACAGAATTCATCACATTTACGCCACTTATACAATTTATGCCCACCCCACAATGGCAGGAGTTTAGTGCTAGATGTAGACAGCACTGCTCTCTTTATCTGAGGGCAACTCTTCGGATTAAAAAAAAAACAAAAACAGTCTTGGCTGAGATTCAATCAAAGAGCCGGAAAGCAGAGATTTCCCTGCATGCACTGCAATCTTTGGCATAAGGTTCCCCGAGAGGGAGCCAAGACTTGTTTTTACCTGAATGAGAGAATTCACTTGGATGCTACTGCTTACAGGAAACAGTTTTGTTTTTTATAGAGGTTTATGGTACAATAATGTTACTGTTTTGGCATGTGTATCCAACACGATCTGCAAAATCAATCTCTAAATTGACTATCAAACTTTAAAAGGATATTTAAAAAAAAAAAGCACCAAAAAACCTGATGTTGTTCCAAACCTGTAGGAGTTTCATTCTTCAGAAAAAGAAATGCCAAAGGATCAAAACTGTAAAGTTATTAGGAATGTGAGATATGTATCATTAATTTACTGATGTTTAAGCTGACATTATCTTGAGAGTCCATGCATTCACAGCTTGATGTAGTCTTTTAGAATACAGTTAGAATGGCAAAAAAAACTGTTGCAAAAAAGCCAGTGCATAACAGCTGCATGTCTCTGAGCAACACACAGCTGGGTTTCTTTACTGAATGAATGAGTGAATGATTCAATAACCCATTCATAAAGACATTCATTACTTTCAATTCTGAATGAATTCTAAGTCATATTATTTCGTAAAGTCCCGCGGGAATGCAGACCTCTACCTAAATCATAGAGTAACACTCACATATCATTCGTTTGCATACATTGCCAAAACACATCCCACCAGATTTCACGTTCATTGTCATTGGTCTTTGGACAATTCTCAATGAATAACAACACAAGTTTCACAAAGCTATTATACAGCTTCATAAAACTTGTAATGTGATTCACATATTTCATTTGGCCAACTTATAAAAAAGTCATCCATCACTCTTATTAGACAGAAACAGAAGAGACAGTACAGGACGTTACTAGACAGATAGTGTGAGAGAGAGAAAGCGATAGAGAGAGAGGGATGGGATGAGAATTTGAACCAGAGCACCACAGCTTACCATGTCTTAAGCACATGCACCAACCACTAGGCCATGGCACCAACTAGAATCCAATTTTTCTTGGACTAAACCATTCAATAAAAGATGTTTCTCAGTGAGTCTGATTTACTGACTGACCTTCTTGCTCTAATGTGTTATCAAAACTACAGATTCCCTGTCAAACTCCCACTGAGCTCTCAGCGGTGTGTGTTTGACTGCAGGTTAGAGCATTTCCAGCGTGAGGGGAAACGTGAGAGCGGGAAGGTGAGAGTCAGAGGTCGGGTATCAGCAGCCGCAAATCCCATAATCCCATTTCCCAGTGGTCTCGGCTAATCCAATGGATGGCTGGGACAGAGCTAAGGGCCAGTCATCCACTGCACACTTTCTGTGTCAATACATACCACTGACTCCCAACTCATCCCTATAATGAAGACATTAGTATATCTTCTCCACTCCTCTCGGTCCTGATCCAGGGGAGGCCAGTGACGTGGATATTGGGATTAGAAACATTCAAGCATCACAGAGCACTTAAACAGCTTATTTAGTGCGTCCAGTCAATCAGAGGACAGCTGCTATCTCACACAGTGGGATGATTAGACTTACAGTGTCTCTGTATTATCACTAACGGCAGCCAAATAAACTCTTGTCTTAAACTCTCAGCACTGTGACAGTGAACGGAACTACTTTTTCCACCAGCTGCTACATCCATAAGAACAGCTTTTGCTTTTCTTCTCCTTGAGCCATCTTCTGACATCTTTATCTTTATTTGATTAAAGAACTGCTGCATCGCCATGGAAACGTATACTTTTGGAAAGTCTGACTCGGTACATAGTAATATTTTGGCTTTATTAGTGCTGTTTGCTAAAGCAAGCATCAATATTAATTTTACTCACAGTACTCAAGGATCTGGACAAACTGCTAACCCTCTTGAAACTTATCCTACACTATGGCTGATGATACACGGGGCAACTTTGGCTAATGTTGCCGTCAGTGGGCAACCAGGTGAGACACAGGGCCCACAACCGATCTGAAGTATCCAGATTGAAATTTGTTACCTATTCTCAATGAGAAAGTGCCCATGCAGGCAACATTGCTCAAAAAGTTGCCCCGTGTATCATCAGCCTATTAGTTATACTGTACGTACATGCACAATACCCAGTGTTGTTGTTATTGTTGTTCTCAACAACTAAAACTATTAAAAACTGTTTTCGGTAATTGCTGAAATAAAATTCAAAATATGTATTTATTTTCAGAAATAAATATTAGAAGAAAAAACTTCAACGAAAAATAAAGAAATAAACAAATACAGGAAATAAGTAAGTTTAAGTTGATGTACTAAATTTGCTGAAACGACTGAAATTAAAATGTATTTAAATCTAAATAGAAATATATAAAAAAAGACAAAAGCACAGTTATTCAGTTATTCAATCTTATTTTGAATTAACAAAAAAGTGTGATGTACATTTTTACCAGTTGTCAAATGTTTACCATTTTATCATACATTTGTGTACTGTAATTTTTCTGAACTATCTGACTTTTGATTTGATGTGACTTTCATCTGGTGGGTGATAATTCTCACCCTCACATTGTTTCAAACCTGTATTACTTTGTTGCATCTGTGGAACACAAAATAAGGTATTCTGAAGAACTGTTTTTGCCCATATTATGAAAAGGCAGTGGAGGTTCAAAACAACTTTCATTGTATGGGCAAAGAAAACAGAAAGATAAAGTCATACAGGTTTGGAACAACAAGGGGGTGAGCAAATAATGACAGATTTTTCATTTTTGGTTGCACCATTCCTTTAAGCAAGCACCTAGCAACAGCATAGCAACACATTAAAAAAACAAAAAGCTCAGAAATCATTAGCAACTGCATGGCAACATTTTTTTTGCAATGGCAAACACCACTCAGATTTTCTTCAGAAAACTTCAGAAACTTTATTCGGAAATCATTTGCATCAATTTGTTTTAAGTTTAACACTTACAACGGGAGTCTGTTTTTGGTTTTGAATGCTTAGAAAATATCTTTATCTGGCCTAGATTATGGAAACATTGACAAGTTCACCGTTTCAGGGGGACGAATCTCACTTCACATGAGCTTTGGTCTATTTCAAAACAACAAAAACCATAAAACAATGAAGAACAGCCATTTGTTATTACCATATAATTGCTGAATGTCAGCAGTGGCTCAATATCAGCACGTTAGAGTCATTTTTAATAATTGATGAAACAGCGAGAGTGACTCTGGCTTGATTCATTTGTGTTTTAGTGAGAATGAGTCAATGTGTGCGAGTCAGAGAAGGGCCTGCTGGGAAATGGCATGGAAATAAACTCCCTCGCAGAGCAACAGAGGAAGAAGGGGGAACGGACATGTGGTTCCCATCTGCTGTATGAACCTGGAGGATATGAAAAGGAAAAACATACAAGAGCTCAAGCAAGGACAAAAACACATAATAAACACTTCGGGAATCAGAAATGTGCATTGCTTTGTACAGAATAAATTAGCCTGACGCATTAAGTGTGCAAACAAACACAGCAGTCAATGCTTTTGTCGCATCAGGGGCAGTGTGTGTGACAATAGACGCGCGGCCCCATCAGCTCCATAGCAAAAGGCTGAATGGGGTTCCTGAGACACACAGGGCCATGGCTCGCACTCGGGCCCCTCAGACGCTGTGGGAACAGCATGTCCCCTCTCATATACACCATTAGCCAAACATCTTCATTTGAATACAAGACAAGGGGGCTGTGAGGCTCCCCAATGGAAAGGAGGAGGAGAATTTGGAGAGGACGAATTAAAGATTGCTGGGGAGGTGGGGGGGTCTGATAGTGGTAACGTTAAGATGTCCCTTCAAAAGCCTCCTGGGGAGATATCAGACTGCGATTACAGAGCGAGGCGTCCATAATTACAGGCCATCAACTCGGCCCAGTTTGAGGCTGGCAAAGTGAGTGCTCTGTAGGGATCAGGTAGGTTTCTGCCCGATCAGACTGTCTCCACTTTAAACCAATCAGACAGGCATTAGTATGGGCGCACAGGGGTCAAACAGTCTGCTAAGACAAAAGCAGTTGAGAGACAATAAAAGGCTTTCAGACATGATGAGGGGACAATAAGATGACAAGAAGAAGTATGGTGATCAGACACTTAATTATTGATGCTGTTGCTCATAATTAGGGTTAGAGATTTGCACCCATAAAACAAGTATGTAACTTATCTTGAGCGGTTCAAGCTACATGAATGATACCTCCAATCATGCCAATTATGCTGGAGTAGTCTTCTATTACTTTTCTAATTGGTAAGATGTACAATTTTCTCCTGGCAGAGAATAAAATGGCTTAGAATAAAAACTGCTTAGATTTACATTGAATGAGGGAATTCAGCAATATCTGCAGTTGGCAGTAAGCAACAACTTAGCAACCACCCAGATCACCTTAGCAACCACATAGAAAAAAAGAAAAACATTCACCTTGACCCATACCCACAAAAAGTGGTGACTTCTGCATGGGTAAACACCAGTCACATTTTCCTAAGAAAACGTAAAAAAATCATGATCAAAGCCACTTTCGCCAAAGTCAACCAATGTATATTTCAATTTTTGTTCTTATGGGTATAGTTGAAAAATTAAAACTCAAGTTTAACTCGAACCTGCAGTGATATTTTAGCATTATTTATACTTTTATAGTATTCAGTGATACTTTATTTTTATATTTTCAGTTTCAGTAATCTGGTTATGCAATTTTGTTTTACATTTAAAAAGTTCCTATTTCCATTAGTTTCAGTTTTAGTCATTTTAGTACTTCAACTTATTTTATTACTAATTTTATTTCATACATATTTTAAGTTGAAGTTTTTAATCTAATATTTATATTTTATTTTATTTCAGCTATATTTCAACTAATAGAAACTACTTTTAGTTTAGTTTTTTTTTTTTTTTTAGTTAACAATAACACCGCAAACCTAAAAAGGAAGTATTAACCATTTTTGTCCATACAAAGAAAGTCAAAACAACACTGACGCTCATTGAATGTACAAAAAACACTTCTCAAAATATATTTTCTGAAAATATCTTCTTTTGCGTTCCACAGAAGAAAGGAAGTCATATACGAGGGTGAGTAAATGATGACAGAACTTTCATTTTAGGTGAATGTTCAGTATCAGATTTGACTTTGGGTGAATTCCTCCTGAAAAGATCAAGTCAAGGGTTTAATTTAGCTACAACAAGGTTGATTTCAGCTTCCAGGAGTATAGACCGACATCCTGGCCATGATTTGGTGAAAACACAGGCGTCTAAGTTCCAACATAACACAACAGGCTCTCTATAACGTGGGAACAATGGCAGTAGGAGAGCTAGCTGTTACAGAGGACAGCAGATCATTATGAAAGGTTAACATTTCAGACGGGACGGCATTAAAGCATGAGGGGGCACCAATTACCCCCACGCCCTCCAGAGGGGTCTTCACTACCCCATTCAATACTAACCAATGAAGGCTGGAATTTATGTCATCAAGAAGCTTAACAGAATCACGCTCCAGGCGATCTGTTCACCCCAGAAATTACTCATGGAAGCTTCCCGCTGCAAGATTTTCCTTTTATCTCACAATTTATCACTCTCTTACATGAAAACCATAGTGGAATTGAGCAACATGATTGGTTCTTAGTGATGATGTAATGGAGAAAAGTCCATATTTAAGGCTTAAGAGTCACTTAAGAGAGAGACTTCAGCTCAAAAATAAGACTTTATTATAGTAATATTTTCATTTACTCACTCTCAAGTTGTTCTGAACGCATTTGAACTGGATATTTTCCATACAATTAGTGAACACATCTATCAAGCCTCAAAAAGGACCATAAAAAGCACAATAACAGTCGCCCATATGGCTCATTTGCTATATTCCATATTCCTAAATTTCCATAAGCCATAGAATAGCTAATGCACAAGCTATAATGGACTACTTTAATGGTGCTTTTACAGAGTTCTGGAATATTGACAGCCTTTTGTCAGTATGAACTGTCAATATATGCAAAACATCTAAGTGAAAATGTACTATATTAATTTAATATATGAACTTATTAATATCAATATATTTAAATATATATGTGTGTGCGTGTGTGTGTATATATAATTGACTAAATATATACATTTTTAAGGTAAATTAACCCTTTAATAAAGCAAAATATTCTTAACACTTGGATAAATTCCGTGAAATAAGTTTGGCTGGAACATGTAAATAAAACAAAATCAGACACCTAAAAGATTTACCATTACAATCAACACCACCATAGCTGAAACCGCTCAAAAACTGATACAATCTGTTTTCCTCCAAATCACTACAAAATATAGAAAACTTGTTCGTGGAAAAGAGAAAGACAGAAATAGGGGCAAAAATAATAATTTCCAACACAGACATGGAAAAACTGATCGGTGTGAGAGGTAATCTCTGTTGAACCTGTGAATTGTCCCAAACTCCACCAACTAATGAGACCTGGATAATCCTATTTACCCCTCCACTCCCCTCCCCTCAATTCTCAATGGGATGTATTCTTCAAATCTGGAAAGGTACTGAGAAACTAATATTTCCATAATGCATTCCCATGGGAAACAGATGATTTTTTTATTTTTACCTGGATGAGTGTTTGATTATGTATCCAACATCATACACACCAGAGAGCTCATTTACCATACAAATAAATAAATACATAGCACTGGTTGGGTATATCTCATACAAACACATTGAATAAGGCAAATGTCTATCCTGCTGAACTTGTTTTGCAATCCCGATTTGTTTAGATGATGGAAACGCACAATGAAAAGATTATGAAGGCAATTTATATGAGTTTGAGAGAAACATTAAAAAGCAAATGAACTGCAGATCCACAAAACTTACCCAAAATGAGATGTTGAATCCGAACAAGAAGTATTTAACACAGCAGCTGACCTCTGCTCCTTTAAAATGATGCGGTTTTCTGCTCATTTTGTTCAGGCCAGCTAACGCTGTTGTGTTGATTCAATGATCAGCTGCGAAAAACTAAACGGATCGCCAAAAATACGACTCGAAAGCGATTCATGCATCTATATTTTAGCCGAAGAGGCTGCGACCCAGCAATACATCGCACACCACAACAATGCACCATCAACAAGCGCTTTTTCCACTGAGCTGAATCTATTCATCAGCTTTTCAACATATAAACAACGGGTGAGGAGTTAAATGGATGGGGAGATTAATGCTCCGGGTCCCCCCTGATAAACCCCGAACGCTTTGGGTTGGTGTCATGAGATGTGCTTGATATTTTAACCTAGTTGTGAATGTCCCGAGGAAAACAATCCACAGCAATCTAACAATCCAGCAAGAACAGAGAAGCGCGACACTGCAATCAGAGGACACCAGCTCACTGTCAACTGAACAAGCTGTCATAATAAAAGTCCTGTCAGCGCCAGTATCCATGAAATATTGATTTATTTCACCAACAAGTCAGTGTGAAACAAACAATGTCTTGCACAAATATGCAACGTCTTTCACCTTTTTAAAGTATTTCTGAGATCTGTTCAGGTCGTCTTGAGTAAACAGTGCTTTTCCAAACACCAACTCCTAATTAATTTGTAAACACTTGTTTAAATACCTATAAATATAAATATCAAATTATATATAATTACTATTGAGTTTGGCATATTATTACCTTAGTATATTATTATTATTTTGTGTATTATTATTATTATTACCACCCCAACCTTTTCACACCCTGCAACAAGAGACTACATTTTGCATTTCATATCTTCTATGTAAATTCATTAAAATTCATATAATTTTTTTTTCCCTTTCCTTTTGATTTACCCTTCATTTTCCATATTTCTGTATTTACTTTGTCGGTTTTATTGTCCGTTACACTACTGTAACTGTATACTTTGGCATTATGGTGAATGCTGACAACCAAGCCATTAAATCATGTAAAATAATTACAATTCACAGACAGCCGAGGGGTTATTTTATTTTGTCACTTCCGGTTGTTTTTGTTATTTATCGTCGCTTATTGCTGCCATTGGATCTGTTCTTTCTATGCAGCGTCTATGCAGCACTGACGGTCTCTCTGGAGAATGTGAAGCATGTTACCCTATGGAGTCAATATAATGCCACATATATATGCAAAACTTTATTATTTTGTATATATATGTGGCATTATATTGACTCCATACAAAATTAATAATCTAATAATTAACTACTTTTGAGCCTTAAAAAGGTTTGCATAATTTGAATACTAAAACACACAGTGTATATAATGTCTGCACACATGTGGTCGTTACCGATTTTCCCCCCAAATTATTTGTATTATATATATTAATGACTCATTTATATTTGTATTTGTATAATTAATATTTGACATTATTTTGAGCTCATCTCCTGAGTCTGCAGCGATGGATTCAGTAGTGATGAAACCAGTTTACCATTTTGGTCCTATAGGTGGCGGTATTGACCAGGCATCTGTGGGCTTTGCTGCCTGTATCTCTTCAAGAAACATCAAAACTTTTTTGATTACATTTTTTTTTTTTTACTTAATTCTAGTGTATGAATGCAATTCACAGACTAGATTAAATTATTTTTAAGACTTTGTCTATACTGTCCAATTCTGAGTTGTGGGGGAAATAGTAGTAGTGAATAATAACAATAATAATATCCTACATTTTTGTTGTAAAATATTTCTCCCATGTATCAGTAAAAGAGGTCAGAATATAAACTACATCCCTTTCCTATAATCACACTATAATAAAGTATCTGGTTATAATAATGTGCATTTTTCTTATAGGGAGGTAAAGCTGTGTGCATTTGTAATGAATAAACTTACAGTTTGTGCTTTCAGCATCAAAATGTAGCAAGAGATGAAAACCTTCTAAAAACCTATCCAAGAAGATGACATTGTTTATTTGTGTTTATTCACTTAATTTAAAAACAGAACTGAACAGAGATAATATTGAGGATGGCTGGTTATTCAGACATGATGTCAAACTCAAAGAAATTGTATATGTAAGTTGAATCAAGCATAATACAAATGAAGGATCTCACAAGTACTCAGGGGCTGTAAAGCATCCGTGAAAGTGATAACATTATTCTCACCAAAGGTGCCGAGTCACTTTACAGCTGATGTCCCTGTCAATCAAAATTCCCCCATGCAAATACTCAAAAATCTTGCTGATGCACCAACACAGAGAATGATTTTCTTATGTGTGGTGATCCAATATTTGAGCGCAGGCTAACATGACTACACTTGGTATGCATGACCCTTGAGACTCAATCCTTAAATGAGTGCTAGTGATCAGCTCAGACAGATTTCAACATGTAATTTCAGAACTACGACAGACAAACATTCGGTATTAAGTAGTGTGAATTACCATTTACCACACAGTATACAGTGTGTACTGTCAGAAATTTCCCAGTCAAGTGTAAACGTGCTGTAGACAGTCTGACAGTGTCAGGGGTGATGTTTAAATAAATGTTAACACTTACAAGTGCCCCATGAAATATATTTATTTGTGTGAAATGTGTAAAAAAGCAATTATCTCACCTTACTCTACCAACAGAGCTGTCAGTCACCTTAAACCCAGAATTACTTCAGTCCCTTTTACGTGATAAACTGAAATGCTATGTGAAGTTTAACTTATATATAAGCTCAGCCAGAATTCTCTCTTCTCCTGTTTTTGCCCTCTTTGGAAATATAACTAATAGCCATCTAAGCAATGTGCATTAATGAACACTGAAATTCAATCATTCCTACATTTTAAGTGAAATCACACTGTCCAAACCTCCTAATGCTTTATTTTTTCACTTCTCCCATTGTGCATCAGACCATTTTATTTCCCTCATGTATGTCAGCACTAAACTAATATGAAAACCGCATTGGATTTCAAATCACCAGCAGCATCCATTTATAATATACGTAATGTAGAGAATTTCCTACCATTCCCTCTCATACCATAAAACCTTGCTGTGTCATTCTGTCTTTACATCTGAATTAACTCACAATCAGCAATAAGCAGTCAGTTCCTTCCAAGTTTGACTCAAGTCGGACCTACAAATATTGTGACATTGTCAGAACATACTGTACAAAAAAAGCAAAAGGGACAATCCCTTTTATATTTATGTAGATTTAAAAAATGAGGTTAATAACTAATACTGCTTTGAAAAGTCTTGCACATTACTTTTTATCTTTGGTACACCTTTCTGAGTCCATGTAATGCCTTCTTCATTAGATTACAGACAGCTGCAGAGATGAGACCAAGATGTAACTTTACAGGAACAGTTCACTTTAAAATGAAAATGTAGTCTTCATTTATTCCCCCTCATGTTGTTGCAAGATCATATGACCTTGATAAAATCTTTCTTTACAGATGCGGTCACGCTCCAACAACAACAACAACATAATAGTCACGTATTAGTTATATTTCAGCATCAGCCTCGTTTACTTTTGTTAGAAAATGTGAACATTCATCTCATTTTGTGTTCCATTAAAGAAAGTCAGTCATACTGGTTTGAGTAAACATGTGAGGTGAGTAAATGATGACAGCATTTTCTTTCTTTTTTTCAATTAGCAACTACATTACCGTTCAAAAAATGTGGGGTTAGTAAGATTTTTAATGTTTTTGAAAGAAGCTCACTAAGGCTGCATTTAATCAAAAATACAGTAAACAATTTAAAATTTTAACTTTTATATTTTAATATCAATTTTAAAATTTAATTTATTCCTGTGACAGCAAAGCTGAATTTTCAGCAGCCATTACTTCAGTCATAGCAACTACATTACCGTTCAAAAAATGTGGGGTTAGTAAGATTTTTAATGTTTTTGAAAGAAGCTCACTAAGGCTGCATTTAATCAAAAATACAGTAAACAATTTTAAATTTTAAATAACTTTTATAATTTTAATATCAATTTTAAAATTTAATTTATTCCTGTGACAGCAAAGCTGAATTTTCAGCAACCATTACTTCAGTCATTAGTGTCACATGATGCTTCAGAAATCATTCTGATATGCTGATTTGGTGCTTAAGAAACATTCCTTTTTATTATCAATTTTGAAAACGGTTATGCTGCTTAATATTTTTGTGGAAACTATGATACACTTTTTTTTTATTCTTTGATGAATAGAAAAGAACACCATTTATTTGATTTTATTTACTGGATTTTTTAAACTATAAAAAGCCCTTTTTCTCACTTTAAACATTTGAATGCGTCCTTGCTGAGAAAAAAAAAAACTTACTGACCCAAACTTTTGAACGACAATGTATTTCTTTAACATGAACAGATTCCATCACAGAGTCAACATAGTAACATACTGTACTGTACGCAATGTACTGAAAAATCCACAATGCTTTACATTCAATATTTAAGGGACACTTTGGTCTACAACGAAATCAGGCTGAAGTATAAATCATCCCTAAGTGTTTCCTACAGATCTTCGGGCACGCCTCCCCTCTTCACCTGCAGACTGCCGGTCCAGCCACGGGGGCAGGTATTATAGCTGCGCACTCCAGGAGAGCGCAGACCTGAATCCTCAGACTCGACCGAGGCATCAGAGTCAGTCAGCGAGCGGGCGTTGTACAACTGCACTGGAGAGTGGATCATGCGGGTGGGAGAGGGACTGGTAAGGGTGGGCGATTGAGCCCCCAGCATCCGTGGTTGAAATGGACTGACTGGTTTGTGTTCGTAAGGCACGATCCCGCCGTTCACTGGGGAAATGTGCAGACTGCGGCTGCTCAGTGCCCCAGGAGACGGACTGTTTTTCCGCTTTGCAGCATTGATGATGTTTTTGGCCAAAATGCGGTGGTTGGCTTTGCTGTCCTGACTGACAGCTGGGGACTGGCACCTGGTTTCCCAGTGTGGAGATACAGGAGAGGTGGCGGTCGGCTTGAAGATGGTACCTGGAGATGCAGTGGTTGCAATGGGCTTGTGGATAGGGCTTGGGGAAGGGCATGTCGTGATGGGCTTATGGATGGGCCGGGGTGAGGGGGAGATGGGTGTGGGCTTGTAGATTGGGCTGGATGATGTAGAGGTCACTAGAGGGCTGCTGGGGGACCAGACAGTGCTGGAAAGCACCTCAGGGCTGGTGAAGCGTCTAGTGAGGTTGGGCGTCCTGGAGGTTGGGGTGGTGGAGCCGGGGCTATTGATTGGTGCCAGGGTCTCCTCCTTAATCTGATAAGACAAAAGATAAGAAAATATTACTTTTAGAGGTGAGACATTACTTTAATTTAGAGTCTCTATATCACTAAATACACTCACAAACACACACGCTGAATAATAACAGGGCTCAACATTAAGGATTTTTCTGTTTGCCATACTTCGAATTTCTATTAGCTTTGCCAACATTCTTAATGACCTCTTTTAACATTGATTAGTATATATGTTTGTC